TTTTTGTTTTTGTTTTTGTTTTTGGACTGGAATAATGGAACCATTTAATGGAATTCTGATTAACTTTGAAATGAATATTTTGCAAAATCAAACACATTATAACCTGGTGTCCTCTGGATTGTTGGAGATTAATTGCAACTTTAAAAGTCACAAATTTTATGCTTTCTCTGGAATCAGGAGCCAAAATTAAAAGTATTGTCCAGGGCCAGCCAGTTAGCTCAGTTGGTCAGAGTGCAGTGTTGATAATACCAAGGTCAAGTGTTCAGATCCCCATACTGGCCAGCTGCCAAAAAACATAACTAAATAATTAAATTTAAAAAATAAAAGTATCCTCCAGAACTGGAAAGCAAAGGGACACATAATAGGCTAGAAAGTTCTGCTCTAAGTGCTGTCACAGATCAAAGTGAGAGTGACTGCTGATTTTTACAAAATACTCTTATGACTGTTTAGTATCAAAAAGAGGAATACTAACCAGAAACAATAGGAGGGAGCACAAATTGGCTCAGCCTATTCTGTCTGGTTAATCTGTTCATTGTACCCAAAGTAACAGCATTCGATTTCACAAAGATTTATTGAATATTCCACTGGGTATCCAGGATATAAAGAAATCCAATACGGAATGAATTTTATTACTGATTTTATTATTTTGGGTAGGACTTTGAATTGTAGTTGTAAACCAAATAATAACTCAGATAATCTTAATTTTCATTCATTAAGATAAACTAATTTTTCTTTTCAATTTTCTTTTTGCTAACAGGATTTGCTAGTCCGCTTACTGGAATAGCAAATGCTTCTCAAAGCAGCATGCACAATGCCTTGCACATATATATGAATGGAACAATGTCGCAGGTATCAGGATCTGCCAACGATCCAATTTTTCTTCTTCACCATGCATTTGTTGACAGGTTAGTTGATATTTCTTCATAAATTATGTGCTTATTGGATTTAAATGTAATGATGTCTTTCCAATGTGACTTTAATTATCACATAAAAGCTAAGGAATTATGATGGTCTATTGTCTCAGATTAAGTTCTCCCAGAAACAAACCCTATGCTAAGGATTTGGACACAAATATTTTATAAATGGTGGGTTTTTTTTTTTTTTTATTGAAGAGAAACTAGTAAGGGGGTGGGTAAGGAAGGATAAGAAAGGGGAAGTGCCAAATGAGGGTCCAACCTCAGTTGACATCCCATCCTCATCCAGATCTTGGTACATGTGAATTTGTCCTATATTAAGACAAAGGAAATGAGTTTTTGTACTCCCATACTAAATAGGCATTGGCTACAGATTGCCCTGAAGTAGGAGATGTAAAACTCCCAGTCACTAGCCTGATTCTAAATATGCTATGTGGTTCTAGTGTCCAAGGACAGTCTTGTAAAAGTTTCAGGGGCATGTGGTTAAGAGTAAAATATATAGAAGCAGGAAGGTGGGCACACAGAGAAGGTACAAGGCATCTAAGGCCATCTGGGTAGGCCATTAACCCCTACAGCTCTCATCAATATATATATATTTTTTTCTCTCTATCAATTTTATTATTATTCCTTCCACTTTCTAACCTCACACCACTACATTTAAGCAAGAATAGTCTTTAGTCTCTCCCTGGGGCCTGAGCATTATATGATTACTTTTCCAGACAGAGTGCACTATGGCCCTACCATCCTATTTAATATGATTTAATTCTGTTGGAGTTTTTATTTTCCTTATTAACCTTCTTCCATTACATGTGTAATGTATTAGCCATATTGGGCTTTGAACTTAATCATAGGTGATGATAGCAGAAAAGAAAGTACACCGAGGAAGTTCAGCTGTCTGTTTCTGGAATTCTTGAAGAAAAGAGAAAATAAAGCATCAAATCATGACAGACAAGTGCAGTAGAGCTCTTTCTTTGTCCCCACCAAGGTAACTTTCTCAAAACAGCTAATGAATAAAGGGCACGAGTTTATACCTGCCATTAAGATAATACTATTATCCTCTTCGGTAAAAATAACAAGCACTCTTTTTCTTGTTTTAAAGATCAAGAAACTGAAACTGATAATTAGGTGTTTTATTCAACTTACCATCATCCTCACCTCACTCATATCCCCAGTTATATGGACATAATATCAAATAAAAAAGCAATTGTTAGCAAGGTATATTATAAGGCAGACTTTTCCAGCCTTCATAGCAAGTCTTATTTAATGGGAATTGTCAGCTTTTATTCAGAAATTACCTCTTAAGAACATGTATAAGCACCAAACTTGTCATAGCAATACAGCATCATGACCACCTATACCAATAATATAAAAAAGGGAAGAGGGTTGGAAACAAAGAATTCTTGATTTTATTGAATTATTTCCCTGTACTTTCATTTAGTTTGCTGAGCTTCCCTAAAACAATTATATTGAATTCTTTGTCAGGCAGTTATATCTCCATTAAGGAGGGAGAGTCAACTACCAAAAAATGACTATATTCCTTTGGTTGTGTTTTGTCTCTTTGAATTTTTATAATTTTTGTTATCTTATGTTCATATCTGCACACTTGAAAAGGTAGGCATTTTTTCTAGTCTTTACAGACTGGCTTTGTCTGGAAAGCTCTTCACCAGCCAGCCCATCCAGACACTCTGGGAAGATCATCTGGTGTGATCTGAGGGCAGGCTTTCTGCTGGAATCAATGAGATGGCAGGCCTGGTGCCTGGGCTTGCAGGGTTGGCTCCGAACCCTGGGGCCATAGGGGCCATTGGAGCTAGCCCAGTGCTAGAGGTGGTCTGGAGGCCAGAGTCACTGGGCCTGCTTGGCCCTGGAGCTGGTGCAGAAACTGGGATTTCTGAGATTAGCCTGGCTCTGGGGTGGACCATGTCTGCTGGGCAGGCCTGAAGCCTGTGGCTGCAGGATTCTGCTTGGTGCCAGGATGGGCTTGGAGACTCAGTTCATGTGTACTGGCCTAAATACTAGGGCTATGGGGGCTGGCCTAATGTTGGGCAGACCCAGAGCCTGTATTTATAGGGGAAGGCCTGGAGGATATGTCTATGGGTTCTGGCCTGATTACTAGGTCACTAGGGGTCAGATAGGGGCTGGGTAGACCTGAAATCTGTGGCTGTGGGAGCAAGCAAAGTGCTTGGGGCAGTCCAGGGCCTGGGGCCACTGGGGTTGGCCTGGCAGTGGAGATAATCCTAAGCCTCAGGCCACTGGGGCCAGCCCAGAGCTGAGGGTAGTCCTGGAGCCTGGGGCTACTGAAGTTAGCCTGGCAGTGTGGTAACCCATAGTCCAAGTCCTTCACACATGCCCGGAAACTGGAGCTGTGGGGTCTGTCCTAGCTCTGAGGTGAGCCTGGAGTCTCAATGTGTGGGTACCAGCCTACAGTCTGTGATTGTGGAAGCCTTCCCAACTATGAATTTTACTGAGGTGAGCCCAGTTTTGGAGTCTGAGGCAAAGTCAGCTCACTTCCCTCTTTTTCCCACAAATACATGGTATCTCTTTCTAGGTTCTACCTAGGGATGGGGGAGGGGTGATGTGAGTAATGTAAAACTGTATTTTCTACCCTCTTCAGTGCATCTTTTCTTATTTCTGTGCTACATGCAGGTGCTGTAATTTTTCACCTAGTTTCCTTAGTTTTTGTGAAGATATTTTTAAGCATAGATATTTGTTTGAATTGATGTTTCTGTGGGGGGACTAATGATGAAGTGTCCTATTCTACCACTTTGCTAATGTTCCCACTTATTTTGCAAGTCTTAAAAGAAAATTTAATAGTCATTTAATACTATGAACCTATTTTAAAATTTTATAATGCTTCTAGATCATCAGACCTGGTTCTAAGCACCGAGGAATCAGAATAATGATGAGGGATCACTGGTCTTAAGAATCATAGTTTATAGGGAAANTATTTCTGTGCTACATGCAGGTGCTGTAATTTTTCACCTAGTTTCCTTAGTTTTTGTGAAGGTATTTTTAAGCATAGATATTTGTTTGAATTGATGTTTCTGTGGGGGGACTAATGCTGAAGTGTCCTATTCTACCACTTTGCTAATGTTCCCACTTATTTTGCAGGTCTTAAAAGAAAATTTAATAGTCATTTAATACTATGAACCTATTTTAAAATTTTATAATGCTTCTAGATCATCAGACCTGGTTCTAATCCCCGAGGAATCAGAATAATGATGAGGGATCACTGGTCTTAAGAATCATAGTTTATAGGGAAATCTAAACAAGTAAACAACTACAGTACATTATGATTCATGCATAATCATGGTGGAAAAGCTTGGAAAGCTACATAAAAATGATGGAGTATGAGCTGAGCCCTAAAGAGCATCGGGCCTACAAGACAAGGATGGATATTCAAGGATTAGGAACACAACTTCTGTCTCACTGAAACCAATCACAAACAGAACGTACAGACTGGAGAAGAAATAGAGGCTTAGTTTCCAAAACATGGAAATAAGCTCAAGGCTTGTAGACAGAGAAAGCAGAATTCCAGTGACCAATTTGTCTGCCATCAAAAGGTACCAATGCTGGGGAAATACCCAAGCCAATTCTAATTTTCTATACCTCTTTTAAGTAAGAAATAAAAATAAGTCAAAGAATGGGTCTAAAATTATAATTTTTTATTTTAGCTATTCAAATAGGTATAGAGTGTTATTTCAACGTTGTTATATACACATAAAACGGAGTACTACTCAGCAATAAAAAGGAATGAATTATTGCTATACACAGTAACATGGATGGATCTCAAAATAATTGTGCTGAGTAATAATAGTCAGACAAAAGAGTATTTTCTTTATGCTTCTATTTTTATAAAATTCTAGAACATGCAAATAATCTACAGTCTCAGAAGGCAGATCAGGGAATGTGGAGGAGGCGGTGGAGGGGTAGACAGGAGAGAGATTGTAAAGGAGCACCAGGAAACTTCTGAGAGTGATGGGTGTATTCATTATGAACTGTGTTGATGGTTTCACAGGTGAATGGATACATACGTCAAGACTTACCAAGTGGTACACTTTAAATATGTGAAATCTGTAGTATATCAATTATACCTCAATAAAGCTGTTAATAAAGATACATTAAACAATAAAAAATAAATAAAATTAAATAAAATAAAATTATAGTTTTTAAAAGTAACATATGTTTGGTTTTAACTATGTACTATGCACCATTCTAAACTCGTTACAAGTTTATTTTATTTATTCAAGACCCATAAGTCAATAATGTTGGTTCTAGTATTACTCCTATTTTATAGATTAAAAAGAAATGAAGAAGGTTAATAATTTGCCCAAAATTATGTAGTTAGTGAAGGACAAAGTTAAGAATTAAACAATGAAGTCTTATTACAGAGCCATGTTCTTAATTAACCACTATAAACAATACCTCAGGAAGTAAAAGGTGAGTGTCCTGCTGACTGCTCTTAGACTGAAGGTCAATAATTTCCATTACAAATTCATTCATTCATCAAATATTTTAAGTCCTTATTATATT